GCCAGCCGCGCGCACCGTTGGGCTGCTGCTGCACGAAGGGGTAGAAGCTGTTGTTCTTTAGGCACTTGGCTAGGTGGCGCTCGGTGCAAAAAATTCCTAGGGCCCAGAGCTGGAAGAGCTTGCCGCCGGAAGTCGTGGGCAGGCTGCTGACCCGCCCCTTGGAGGCCGGGGCCTGAGCCTGGGTCAGGCACAGGCGGTCAGCTGGCGGGCTCATCTGCCATGAGCCACCGCCCACAGTCACCCTCCTACCTGGGATAAGAAAGTTACCAGGGCTGTGGTCCAGGAAGGAGCTGGAGCTCAGGCGTCAGGCGGGAGAGCAATGCCAGGTGGAGGTCGATGCTAGGCTGCGCCCGCGTTCTAGAAGCTCTGAGCGGCGGGTTCTAGAAGGGGCCGTACTGTTGGCTACCACTTCTCCAGAGAGACCCTGGCCAGGCCTTTGTGTTGGGTGTGCACTTCCCTGCTGGTCCCCACCACACGCCACTCGCAGGAGGCCCGGTGGGTTCAAGTCCTCACCTGAAGGGCCGGATGGCGGAACATCCAGACCTCAGATGGAGAGAAACCTTTAGGCACCCCCACACCCTCAGACCCACGGCTGAGCGCCCCCTGGCGCCTGTGTCTAGGCCACAGCCTCACATACAACCACAGCTTGCCTCTGTCCCTGAGGGTGGGACACATGCAGCCCGAGATTCCAGCCTGGCAGTGCGCAGGCAAAGCTCACCAGCCACAGGAGGACTCGGGCAGACCACTCCCCAGAAAAACATGGGCTCCGGGCCAGCTCTAGCCCTGTTCCCCCACCACAATCCCAAGGAACACACAGAGTTCTTAGGAAAGTTTTATTGTAACAAAAAGCACCGACATCCAAAACTGGGAGAGGGGGCAGGGTGGGGCTGCCTAGCTGGGGGAGGCGGGGCAGGTGAGCAGCTGCTCCAGGCACCACTGGACCTCCTCCGGGCCCCGGTAGGCCCGCTTTAGGCCCCGGGGAAGGCAGCGGCAGGATTCCAGGTTGAGGTACAGCAAGCCTGGGCAGCTGCTGATCACAGAGCTGTGGGAGCAGGGTAGGCGCAAGGCATTGAGCAACTGGCTCCCAGAACACTCCGGCCCCTGTAGGGCTGGGCCAGGCTGGGGAGTCCTCTCTACCCATGCACAACTGGCTCTGCCACCCAAGCCACCAAGGCCCAACCAGTACCCCTCAGTCCCCAAGGCAGAGCCCAAGCAGAGGCCCGGCCAGTGTGCGCTCTCCTTTCAGGCCCCTGGAACCAGCAGGCCAGGCAGGATGGGGGGCAAGCCGTACTGGCTCCGAGGGAACGAGGGAGGGGTGCTGACCTCACCGTGCTTGCTGTGACCCGGGTGCCCCTGAGGTTGAGGGAGCACAGGGCTGGGTGTGAGCCGCCAGGCGTCCCTGAGAAGGCAGCAAGGGCCTGCTCCAAATCTTTCTCGCTGAAGCCCTGGCCACTTAAGTCCAGCTCTCGCAGAGTGTGGCACCATTTCCAGGTCAACAGCGGGCTGCCCTCCTTAGCTAGAGTCAGGCGGTCCGATGTGCCATACAGGCCCAGGTGAAGCTGCCGCAGCTCTGGAGGTAAGAGGGATGGGCATGAGCTGCGGGTGGGCAAGGGTCCCCACACTGCACCTGCCTAGCCACTCCCCAGAGAGCTGACCCTGACATGGCAGATCATGTAGGCCCGCAGGTGTGATTCGGGCACAGCCACGAAGATCCAGCAGGCGCAGGTTAGGGGAGCCTCGGAGCAGGCGGCTGAGGGCCTCATCGCTCACGAAGCTGCAGGTGGAGCCGGCGAGGCAGAGCTCCTGGAGGCTGGGGAAGCCTGGACCGGGGGTCACCACTCGCCCAGAAGGTTTGGGCACAGCAGCCGCAGCACCTGGGGGCAAGGCCCAGGCTGCAGATGGGGAGGTGGGGGATAGGCGTGTGTGGGGGAGCGTCAGGTACCTGCAGCTGGGGGCAGCCTTTCTGCAAGGCCTCCACAGGCAGCTGGAGGGGAGTGCTGTAGCGGCTGATGCCTGTGCTCACTTCGAGGACCTGCAGCTGGGGGCAGCAGCTGCCCTGTGGTGGTGGGGGCGAGCATGGTTAGTGGCCTGGCAGTCCCTGGCTCAGCATCCACACTGCTCCTGCCTGTCACCCACCTACCAGCAGTGCGCCCAGGATGGCCGCTGTCTGGGGGCTGTAGGTCAGCCACAGCTTGCGCATTCGGGGCCCCACCTCCTCCAGGAAGCTGACCACGGCCGTCGACTCCACCTGGGGACCCAGCACAGGGGTACCTGTCACCTTGGCCTGGGCTGCTTCAGGGCCCTTGGGGATACAAGGCTCACCATGGAGTGCTGTACGTCCAGGCTGTGGAGCTGGGGGCAGGCTCTGGCTAGCATGGTCAGAGTGTCAGGGGTCACGCCATGGCAATCGGAAAGCTTGAGGAAGGTGAGCCGAGGACAGGACTCGCTCACCAGCTGTAGAAGACAGAGGGCCAGCAGGATTGAGGGAGGCACAGGGGCAAGAAACCAGTGGCTGGTGCCACTCTCCTGCTTCAGCTATGACCTTTCTACCTTTACTAGTCCGACCTAGGTGCCCCTACTGCTGACACCTCCATGCTGGAGGAGACAACAGGACAGGAAAACCAGGTAGGTATCCCCATGGGACAGCACTGGACCCCATGGTACCTGACTCACTCCCTGAGTACTGGGCAACCCCAGAGTGTCACAGCTGGTGTGCAGGGCAGCCTGGTGCTCTCACCTTCAACACGGGGTGTAACTGGGACTTCCAGTGGATGAGGATCAGCTTCTGGAGCTGTGAGAACCTGGGCGGAAGCGGAGGCAGAGCTGCGTAGTGTTCCCAGCTGCCTCTGCCGCGGTGTCCTCTCCGCCCACCAGCTTGGCGTAGGGAGACAGGAAGGGGCCTGGGGCTTTCCACACGACACAGGTGAAGTGAGAGAATAGGGAGCAGAGAGCACGCCTCACCGGCTGGGCATCAGCCACTCCAGGGAAGCAAGGAGCTTCTTCTCCGCCTTGGCCCCGCCTTTGGTGGAGCGGCCGCCAGCCAGTGGGGGCGACAGGGTCACGGTGTGCCAGAGAGCAGGCTGGGAGGCGGCCTCGTGCCACCGACGGCACACGCGTGCAGCCCTGGAAGAAAAATCTCTGCTGAAGAGCCAGTCCTTTCGTGACCGATAACCCCCACGCCCGCCGCGCCATCTCTTAAACGCTGCGGACACCTGAGCTCAAAGCCAGGCCCCTGGGGCTCGAACGGGACCCCCTGAGAGACTGCCCTCTGGCGCAAAGGTGTACGGGCTCAGACACTTTCGTCCTCTGTCCTGCCTTTGCCACTCGCTGGGTGGCGACAGGTCAGCCTGAGCCATTCCGCGGCGCCCGATGGGCCCGGGGTACCTGCCGAGGAAGGGCATGGGCCCATCGGCCGCCACCAGCAGCCCGAAAATCTGCAGTAGGATTTCCAAGGGGATGCGGTCGCCCCAGCCCGGGGCAGGTCCCTGCTGCGGCGCGGGTGCGGCTGCGGCTGCGGGTCTGGGCCTGGCTCAGCTGAGGCCGCCACGCTGGGCTGGTGGCGGCGCCATCTCAGACTCGCGAGACGGCCAGCCGGCCTCCGGGTCGTGGCGCACGCGGACGCTGGACCGGGAGGCGCTGGCACCTGGGCGGCTCTCCACCGCCCACCTGACGCAGCGAGGGCGGCGCCCGCTGTGGCCACATCCCCTCAGGGCCCCACTCGGCTCCGGCCGCCCTGGGTCTCGCAGAAGCGCGGGACTCCCAGGCGAGCGCGGAACCCGCAGAGGTATGCGTGGCGCCGGAGAGGTGCCCCTGTCCCAGGGTCTTTGTCCTCGTGCCCGTTTTGGGGTAAGGGTGGTGGTCTCGGCAACTCAGACCCAAAGTTAGCTCCCTCTTACATCATCCTCCCCTGGGGCCGGCCCCTTTGTCCCGGTCCCGACACCAGCGGCGAGTGCGACTTGCTGAGTTTCGGCGCGTCCTCCTCCCGACCCGGCATCCTCCACCTTCCCTGGTCTCGGCGGTCTGTCGTTCTTCTGACTCCTGCGTCTCTTCGTTGTGACCTCGCAAGCCGGTCTGTTTCTTGTAGGCGAGAAGTCTTCGATTTCCGGAGGAGCAGAGCGCCGTCTTCGGGCCTAGACGGGGAAAGAGGAGCTTGGCCGTGAACTGGGCCCTGTCCTGGAGGGCCCAGCCTCGGCCGAATGGCAGCGTCCCCGCTGGGCCGCCTGGTGCTGACCCACCTGCTGGTAGCCCTCTTTGGCATGGGGTCCTGGGCTGCCATTAACGGGATCTGGGTGGAGCTGCCTGTGGTGGTGAAAGACCTTCCCGAGGGTGAGTGGCAGTGTGCGGGGAAGGTGGGCCGCAGCTGCTTGTCCCTTAGCACCCTGCCTCTGATGTGGCCTCCCCCCTTCCCTGCAGGTTGGAGCCTCCCCTCCTATCTCTCTGTGCTTGTGGCACTGGGGAACCTAGGTCTGCTGGTGGTCACCCTGTGGAGACGGCTGGCCCCAGGGAAGGGCGAGCGAGCCCCCATCCAGGTGGTGCAGGCACTGAGTGTGGCGGGCACAGCCCTGCTGGCCCCATTGTGGCACCAGGTGGCAACGGTGGCAGGGCAGAACCACTCCGTGGCCTTCCTGACGCTGACCTTGGTGGTGGCACTGGCTTGCTGCGCCTCAAATGTCACTTTCCTGCCCTTCCTGAGCTACCTGCCACCTCCCTTCTTGCGGTCCTTCTTTCTGGGCCAGGGCCTGAGCGCCCTGCTGCCCTGCATGCTGGCCCTCGTGCAGGGTGTGGGCCGCCTCGAATGCCCGCCAGCCCCCACCAACGGCACCCCTGGCCCCCCCCACTACTTCCCAGAGCGTTTCCCCGCCAGCACCTTCTTCTGGGCACTGACCGCCCTTCTGGTCACTTCGGCTGCTGCCTTCCAGGGTCTCCTGCTGCTGTTGCCATCGCCACCACCTGTGCCCACAGGGGTTCCAGGGCCTGGCCTGCAGGCGGGAGCCGCAGGAGTGGAGGAGGAAGGGGAAGAGGAGGAAGAGGCCCTGCCCCTGCAGGAGCCACCAGCCCAGGCAGTGGGCACCACGCCCAGCCCAGACCCTGAGGCCGGTCGGCTGCGCTCTGCTCAAGGAGCCTGCCTGCTGGGCCTGCTGGCCGTCACCAACGCACTGACCAACGGCGTGCTACCTGCCGTGCAGAGCTTCTCCTGCCTGCCCTACGGGCGCCTGGCCTACCACCTGGCGGTGGTGCTGGGCAGCGCCGCCAACCCCCTCGCCTGCTTTCTGGCCCTGGGTGTGCTGTGCAGGTGCGCCAGGACCCTTCAGCCGCTCAGGGGGTGCAGCTTAGGGTTGGGGCCCAGTCCTGGCGCAGCCAGCCCTGAGTTTCTGCTTACCCTCGACAGGTCCCTGGCAGGGCTGGGCGTTCTCTCTCTACTGGGCGTGCTTTTTGGGGCCTACCTGACGACACTGGCAGTTCTGAGCCCCTGCCCACCCCTGGTGGGCACCACTGCAGGGACGACCCTCGTGGTAAGTCCCCTGGGGACACTGAAACAGAGAGGGCGGCAGAGGGGAGGTTTGCATAGAGCAGGAGCATCTCAGTCTCAGCCTACTGCCATGTGTGCGTTCCCTGTCAGGTGCTGTCCTGGGTGCTGTGTCTGGGGCTGTTCTCATATGTGAAGGTGGCCGCCAGCTCCCTGCTGCATGGGGGAGGCCGGCCAGCATTGCTGGCGGCTGGTGTGGCCATCCAGCTGGGCTCCCTGCTTGGTGCCGTTGCCATGTTCCCCCCCACCAGCATCTACAACGTGTTCCGCAGCGGGAAGGACTGTATGGACTCTTGTGGATCCTAAATCTGGGCAGGTGGGGACCTCACTCCGCCCCATCTATCTGCAGGCTGGGACTGCCACAGTGTGTGATTGCCCTTGGCCATGGGGGGCCCTCCCCATGCGGGGCACGCTCACGTACACCTGCACACTCCACAGGAGGCTCTGGCACTTCGAGGCTGGGGGCCACAGCAGGTCCGGAGTCAGGGCCCAACAGGGCCGGGACCTGTGTAGGATTTGCACAGTAAAGCATTTTTATTCCACGAGTCAGAGTTGTTAATCCCAGGAACACTTCCTTGTGGACACAGAGTGACA